ACTTGGGAGTGAATGGTGCCATTTTAACAATATTTACATGATACATCAAATTTTGTTTTTCAATGAAAGGGGCTCTTTAACTTCACTGACATGATATTTTGATATAATAGCATTGTATGCTATTCAGGCCTTAAATAATACTATTTTGGTTATTTGGCTCTATATTCAGCACAATTAATTTGAAATGAAATAACTCCTATGAAAGTGCCCTGTATTTCAGAATTTACTGCTTAAGAAGTACTACTTTCCATTTGATTCAATGAATTAATATAATGTTCAGCTCTGGGTTTCAGATCCTGCTCGACATCTGTGACATATATCACACTGTTTACAACATAAATATAGTCAGTTTTGGTAATTGTATTTACTATCAAAAACCACAAGTGAACCTACACATGCCTTCTAAGTTTTTATATGTAATGTGGAGGAAATAGTGGCAAAACTGAAAAATAAAAAACACTTTCTTCAGGCACTATTTTTCCTCACAATGCCCTGCATGTACCCCTCCACCACAAATGGATTTAAAAACATGTTTTAGGTCAAAACTTACTCAAAACATTCATAAATCACTGTCTCAGATAACAGGAGGTGTATCCATAACCATTTCATGTAATAACTTTATGTGAGGGAAATTTTAGGGGTATTAAACTCGTCAGATATCTGGTTCCTATCACCACCACTGTGAACGATCCTGACTCGGAATGTTCATGGCATTTCACACCAAATCATTCTGAATGACTTTGCTTACATCTAAACCATTTAATAATGCAGATATTTTGGAAATTCTGTGGAATTGCCCTTTTACTTCACACATAGAAATGCCACTGTCATACCTATAGAAGAGCCCACTTATTCAATGTGTGGAAGCTCATTTATGTTGCTCAGAATTAAAGTAAAAACATTACTATAAACTATTATGTCTCTTAGTAGTTCTTTTTTCCCAGATAGGTCATAAATAGCCTAAATGTAAGCAGTGTAACTGGAAACTGCTGTTTTATAACACAGTAAACAAGACTGATTAATAAGGGAATCCACAGAGGAAAGTTAGGACCTAAGTATTGTTGCCATGAAGGAAACAATAACTTTCAGTCTGTTTTTGTGTATGTGGGCAGGAACACAGTAGCTAGGGGACACTGTTTAACAAATCCGTCTATTGTTCGGCCGGCAGACTGGTCAGTCTCGTGGTGCTGTTCGGCCAGAGCATCCTGTATCATGAAAGGGCTTGTGTTGAGTTGTTTATGTGCTGATCTGAACTTCTGGGTGAAGTTTACTGCTGGAGTTTCAGGCTTTGATGGAGAAGCTGTTTGATTTTAAGAGACTCCAGATTAATAACTTTAGGCCTTAGTGACCTATCCTGTTAAAAAAAAACAAAAAAGTGACACTGGTCATCCAGTACCAATGGTTCCAGTTTTCCCAATGTTTGTTGCCTAATGGTACTTGAGGGTGTTCTCCTCTGTGTTTGCTAACACTTGCAGCTGCAGCTAATGACAATTTAGTGAATTCTTTACTCTTCCAGATAAATATAAATTCACCAAGCACCATTACATCATCAGGCAAAAAGAACTCAAGTAAACCAGAAGGGTATGATCATGTATTGATTACTGTGTGTAGAGTTATTACTGTGTTAAGTGTTTGCAAAGATTGGTAAGCTAATGCTGATACTACTAGCATTAATGCTAGCCACCACAAAACTGTGGTTTTTCTTTGTTTTCACACTTTACAGAGAAAAAATAAGCTGTGCTTGATTCTACACATCACTGTATGTGAAATTATAGACATTTGTGTGAGTTTGCATGCAGCACAGTATGTTGTTTTATATCTCTAAGTTAAGCTAGAGATTAGCCAAATTGCTTTAGAGTGGCATACAATGACCGAAACCAACAAAAATGTTAACCACAGCTGTTGTGAGGGTTACAGTTGTCTCTTAAATAGGTGGAAAATAAACTAAAATTGCAAGTTTTGTTGTTTTTTGTTTCTGAATATGCAGAGGAAAAATGCCCATAGAGTCACATGTATAAATAAATACCTGTACCTATTTATAGACGTTTAAATACAGTTCCTGTTCAGTTCAAATCTGGCTGACTAAGCCACAAAAGCTGTTGTAAACAGAATACTTTTCACTGAAGCTTGTGTTTAGTCCACACTATCATTAAAGCAAAAGAGAGAAAACAATACAAAGAAATTCTGAAATTCATGTAAAAAGTTCAAAAAGGCTACTTTTCACTCAAACTTTTACGGTTATAATATAAAAAGTAATGAAAAACTTTGTAGTAATTGAAAAAATGTAAAATAGAAGCAGATTCTGTAGTGGGCTCTCACTTTTGGACCAAAAACTTTTTTACCCTTCATTTGTTTTAGTGCTATATGCTTTATTATAGTTCTTTTATTTATTATTTTATTGTAAAATCATCCATTCTCAAGAGGTAATCTTCACTTGGAAGAGTAACTAATTCCCCTGTAAATTTTTTCCCTGAGCGGGGAAGACTAGCCAATCCTACAGCACACCATAAAAAAACATTGCTCTTTAAATAAAGGGAATGGTTCTATTTAGAACCATGATTTAACACCTAAATGGTTCTTCAGACTGGTGGAGAATGTGTTGCTCATATGGCTCTATATAAGAACCTTTTTGAAAATGGATCTATATAGCACCAAAAAAGAGGTTCTGCTATTGTTACAAGGTTGACATCATGGCATTTAAGCCCGAAATGGTTCTAGATAGACATTTTTTAAGAAGTGTAGGGGGCGGGGCTTGCCTGAATACGGGTGGGAACTCAGTGCTGAAACTGAATGTGAGGTGTTAGATGCTAAAGGGAGAGGTGAGCAGTGACGAAGTTTTGAAAGAATTGCTGTTGTCTTTGAAAACTGCTCAGTCATTTTGAGCCAAAAGTGAAGTCTCATAGGACAAAAAGTACGTTAGACTGTTATATGAACACCCTTAATGTTTGGTTTTTCCAAATGAAGTGAGAAATCCTGCCGTTTTTGTGTTTTTATCATCACTATGTTGAACGTTAGCGCTTTAGCATGTTGCTGTTTACCTTCTCTCTCTGATAGAGATATTTGCATCTGTTTCAGATGCAAATATCTGGTGTGCTGCGCTGTGATTGGCTGCGCCAGTTGGTGGACTGTTTGCGAGGACCAGAGCCATATAGAGAGAGAGTTGCATCAACTCCGTTCACTCCGATGGACCGTTTTTTTTTACAGCAATGGCGGATTGTGGAGCCTCTCAATAGTTCCCGGAAGTTAGCAGCAAATACTAGCAGCGTGGCGGAGCTGCAGCAGAACAGACCGGCTGTGATTCACTTTTAAAGTGTAAAACAATTAAAGAATCAGTTTGTATATAATAATGTATATTAAATACATGTATATAACATGTATATTAAAGTATGTCAGTGGATTATCCCTGACTAAATTAGTAGATTTAAGGAACATTAACAGATAACAGATCAGGGTACTGAGTGAAGTTAGGAATCCATAATGTGAACCATGAACAGCCTAGTAACGGTAAAACCCCTGCTCTTAATGTCATTTCATCCACCGTTGTTGAATCTTAGAAAAGGCTTCTAAATGTGATTGTTCGCGGGGTGGGTGGGAGTTAAATGTTAGTTAAATATAACATTGGGGCAGAGCTTGTAGACTTTAAAGAGTAAACAAATATAAGACTTATGGACTGAGTGTTTGCAGGCTTTGTGACTCTGTTGAGTGTTATCTGTACATTATGTTGCTGTTTAGTTGATTTTGGATTAATGGCAAGAACCATGGGGGGGGGTTCAACTCAGCCTAGAGACTCCCTACAATAAGACAGCGCCCCCACCCTACACCCTGAGTCTCAACTCCCTGGGTTTTCCAATTCTTTTCCTGTTCCTTATTTTTAATAAATAAAACATTAAGCTTCCCAGTGGTGTGGCTTTTGTTTGTGAAACGTATGCAGTGTCACGTTGTTGTTGTTGTTGTTGTTGTAATCTTTAGTGATGGTCAGTAATTTAGTAATTGCTCCTGCTGACTTGAGCCAGCAGTATTTCTTCTCTGTCAGTGGAGAAACCAAACATTTTCACTCCTTTCTCCGAGTGACTGAAGCATCTCCATGCAGCAGAGCAAACCATGCTGGGGACTGTATGCAAGGACAACATGGAGAAAAGGGCACAGAGAAACTGCCTGCAAGGCTATTCATGTTTGAGTTCGTTATAGCTTTATTTAATGAATCCATCGCAGTAAATATGTGCATAATAAAAAGACAAGATACATAAAATATATGTGTACAAACAAATATAAATAGATGTGTTTATTATGTCCTGTCCTATCTGTGATGTATTTTAATGTACACTTTTTAATACAGATTTTTTCATATGCAAGCCAAACAAATTTCTTTGGCTCCTTCTGTCCTTTCGGAAAGTCATAGAGTTTACAGTAGTCATCAAGTCATTAAGATTATCTAGGCTTTGGGATAACTGAAACCACCATTAATTAAAGATGTATTTATGTTAATTATATTTATTTATGTTGAAAATTAGTCTGATCTCAATTTTGAAACATTCCTTCTCTTCCCCTCCCTCTAAGTATATCAATAAACATTAGGATATGACTGATCTGAACTACCATACAAGTTTAAGAACATAATATCTATAATACTGAAAACTCAAAGCAGTGAAACAACGAAAACACACTCTGACACCATGTTCACATGAACCTAACATGTCAGAAAGGCAGGTAACGACAGCTGTTTAATCCTCAAATAGTGGCGAATTTGACTTTTAAATACATCATATTGTTGTAACTACACGCACACGTTGGTTTTCTATATAAATACTGTAAATCAGTGCATTTATTGACTTTAAAGTACCAGAAGACGCAGTTTTGTCTCTGAGTGTTTATGGGGTTAAACTGCCCGCAAACAACTTCCTGGAACTATCTGAAGTCTACGTGAATCACGTGACCGTCAAGCATTTTGGACCTCAGTTGACGCTTCTCTCTCTCTATACGGCTCTGGCGATAATCACTAGCCAATCGCAGCGCATCGAGGGCGGAGCTTGACGGAATACAGGCGGCAAAACAACAATCGGACCTTAAAGAGGTGGAGAGGCGACGTAACAGAAAGGAAAGCGAAACCTGATAAGATGAGTTAACAGCCGTAAAGTAAGTATTAAAGTTAAGCTGTTTGGCGCAGAGATATTCATTCTGGTCAGCCTGAGGAGCAACGTTGGACTGATCAGCCAGTAAGTGTGCAATCTTTTTATTTTAAACGTGTAGTTTTCTGTTTTACTGCTAGTAAAACCTCTGGCGTCTGTAGCAGATGTTACACTGCTTTAATGACTGCCTATGAAAAGTTCTATAGACTTTGAAAGACGTTATTGAAGTGAAGTGCAGCTGAACTGAATTGATGTCATCGTTGGTCAAGACCAACTAAAAGTGATGTGGCCACTTTATTGCCCTCAGTTCCACGTGAGCACATGTGTTTGGTCTGAAGAACCTCTTTTCTGCTCCAGAGAGAAGTACGCTTGTCTACATCTGGTGAAGAACTGAACTGAGAACTTACCAGAGTGTCCAGCAGCTTTGAATGTCCATCCAATGGATTCCACAACCGGGTTCGTAGTTTAACCTACAGGTACACACTTAAAAGGTGGTTATTCAAGGGTTCTTTAGTAGGGAATGGTTCCATTTAGAGCTACGAGTTCTACTGGAACCATTTCATGATTAAACGATACTTTGCATGAAGAAATGGTTCCTTAGATTGATGGAAAATGTGTTGTATATGGTTCTGTATAGCACCAAAAAGGGTCGTCAAGCTTGTAAATATAACAGGACACTTCTTGGTGCCGTATAGAACTAGTTTCACAAAGGTTTTATATAGAATCCTATACAACACATTCCCCATCAATCTGAACAACCATTTCACTATGCAAAGAACCATTTAAGCATGGAATTGTTCTATATAGAACTCATGGTTCCAAATAGAAACATTCCTTTACTAAAGAGCCTTTGAAGAACCATGAGTTCTATATAGAACAGTCTACAACACATTCTCCATCAATCTGAAGCACTATTTCACCATGCAAAAAATAAATAAATAAATAAAATAAAAAATAAGCATGAAATGAAAACATATATAGAACTTATGGTTCCAAATAGAAACATTGCTTTTGCTAAAGAACCCTTGAAGAACCATCTATTTTATGAGTATAGGCTTTTATAAGAAGTGTGTAATTTCAACCCAGATTAGATTTGATCTAACCAGGATTAAAAGTCTCCATGACTGTGTGCTCATGATGGGTTATACCATCAAATAGACACCAAAAACAGTCTGTTAGTTTAACTACAGGTGGGGTTTATAGAGCAGCACTCAAATTTACTTCTGTTTCCTTCCTGTCAAACAACTTTCACACATTCATCAAGCCTTTCGGAGTAAACACTGATATGTGTCAGTTTACGCCTTCAATTAAATGTGCAGTAGACTCACATGCACCAATAAAACTGAGACTTGGGGTGGTGAACACTGGAGGCCTTTGTGAAATATTATCAGAAAACTTGAGCCAAGATATGATTCTCTTGCAGTTTTAGACACTTGTGATTGCAACGTGGCGTATTACGAAATGCACATATCTCAGCTTATTATTTTTGACTACCTCCAAATAAAATGTTTAGTCTAATAAAGTAAACACTTTCGTTTTGGTCTTCTTGAAGGAAAGTGAAATTGTAAAGTAGACAAAGCAGCTTTCACACAATTTCAGACGTCAGTGCTTGACTGTCCATGTATTGATACTATTTTTTCATCCAAAACATCTTAATACTATGTTGTGCCAATTTTTCTCCCATATGTTTGATAAATATGAATGTGTTTATGATAATGGAATTCCCATTGGGTGTACTTTTAAACTGTAATTTGAAAGAAGCTCTGTGTATAAAACACAGATCACAAGATATCTCTCTTATTTTCTGTTATCACCATGGATACATCCTGTTTGTGGAGAACAGGATTAGGTGGAGCTTTTATATGTGTCAGAGATCTATTAAAAGATTATGAGTTCAGGTGTGGTGCTGAATTTCATTAGAATGAGGGAAGCAGAGTGGAGACTGATTTACATGCACTGCCTATCTGGGCCTTTGGAGGGCAGCATCACATGGTTTCTGTTTTTCTGATGTAAATAAAGTGATGTAAATAAAACAGCACTTTGGCTACGTTTGTGGAGAACAGGCTGAAGTGGCACAAATCAGATTTTTTGCCCTAATGTGACTCAGATCTGATGTTTTCAGGGCTGTGTGGACACCAAATCTGATCTTTTCAAATCCAACCTGAGCCACTTTGGCTATGTTCACATTACAAGCCTCATTGCTCAAATCCGATCTCTCTGACACGATGGTTCACACTCGTTTAGGTAAGTGATTTAAACCTGTCATTAATGTGAACAAACTGGTGTCCTGAAATAACCTGCATGCACACATCCTACTCAGTAACATCACATGAATGAATCACGTGCATCATCAGCACAAACTAACGAGCAGAACGAGCTTCGCTGAGAAGATAATTAACTCTGATCAGCTCTCAGCTTCATTATTAGAGCGAGACGAAGGAGAAAAAGGTGAGATGAGCTGCTTTTCCACCATTTACAGGCTTTAACTTCTGTTTGGCGCTGCTGCCATGGTAACGCTGAATGATGGCGCAGCGTAGTGGAAAAAAAGCACATGAATTCAGATCTGAGCGTCACATTAAGATCGCATGGCCATGTATTGGATACGTATCCGTTCTAGGACCACATATGTTTGTGGAGAACAGGTCGGATTTAAAAAGATCAGATTTGTGTCCACACAGCTCTGAAAACATCAGATCTGAGTCACATTTGGGCAAAAAATAAGATTTGAGCCACTTCAACCGGGTAATGTGAACATTACTTTTCTTATATGTTCCTAGATTGGATATGTATCCAATTCAGCTGAGAGCTATCCAGAGTTAATTATCTTCTCAGCGAAGCTCGTTCTGCTCGTTAGTTTGTGCTGATGATGCACGTGATTCATTCACGTGACGTTACTGAGTAGGATGTGCGCATGCAGGTTATTTCAGGACGCCGGTTCGTTCACAATAATGACAGATTTGAATCACTTACTAAACCGGTTTGAACCATCGTGTTGGAGAAATCGGATTTGAGAAAAAAATCGTATTTGAGCCACTAGGCCTGTTCCGGTAACAGAATCCCCTTATTCGGGTAACCATGTGGAAAACTGAAGCTGAGTCGTCTTCTCACAGTGGAAGGATGGCTGTGTATTTTTTTCAGGTCTGAAGCAGCTTGATTTTCTCCTCTCTCTCAAAGATGAAAGCTTTAAGTGCTGTTTATCTGAAGGGGACAGTTTTGGTGTCTACTAGGTCTTCCAGGTGGTTGTTAGGGATCCCGTTTTCTCTGTAGCTTTTATTCATTTTTGAACTCCAGTTTGTTGGCTTGCTTTAGAAACGGAACTGATTTAATGTGTTTTTTCCCATTTATAATACCTTTTTTGACCATTGCTTACACTAATGGTCAGACCTTATTTTCTGCTAATATTGATCTTGTGTTATTGTTTGCTATCTGGTGTGGACCAGAGGAGGATGGGTTCCCCTTTAGAGTCTTGGTTCCTCCCAAGGTTTCTTCCTCTTGCTCTTAGGGAGTTTTTCTTGCCACTGCCGCCATTGGTGGTGCTCATGGGGGCTCGGACCTGGATTTTTATGTAAAGCTGCTTTGTGACAACACCTGTTGTAAAAAGCGCTTTATAAATAAACTTTGACTTTACTTTTTTTGTCACAGAGAGCGACTCCAGGCGCGACTGCAAGGGTACATCTTGGAAACACTTGAAGACATCAAAACAGTGAGAAGTTTCTGTGACAAAGAACCAAAATGGACCCTTCAGAGGGAGACAGAGCTGGATATGATGAGAGACATCAAAGACCGGGCAGATCAGATCTCTCTACAGTTTGACCATGTGAAGAAGGCAGAGAACAAGGCCAAGGCTTTTGGGGAGTACCTGTGGAGTGGTCTGACCCAGGTGACAGCAGACTCCAAAAGGGAAGAATTGGAGAAGGAGCTGGGGGAAGTTCTGAAGAACACTCTGGAGGGGCTGGAGAAACTTCAGCACTTCCTGGACGCAGTGGAAAGGCTAGCGGTCACCTCGCTGTTCGTGTTCATGGGCGAGAGCTTCCTGCCGAAGGGGGTGAGCGACGCAGCTGTGCGATCAGTGATCACAACAGCCAGAATCGTGTCACCGCTTCTCATCCACTTCAAGAGAGATGCAGGAGCTTTCTTCTTACCCAGCCTCCATAACGTGGACGTCCTGGCCTTCCAGCTGGACAAATACATCCGCATCACACAACAGCTCTGCATGAGAATGGAGAAAAAGTTAGTGCTCAATATATTTACTGTATCATAGATCAGTGATCATCAGTTCCAGGCCTGGAGGACATTTTGATTGAGCAGGAAAATCAAAGTTTGCTGGACACCAGACCTAGAATTGACGATCCCTAGAAAATAAATCATATATTTTCTTGATAAGGGAGAAGTTCTATAGTCTGTGAGTAGGCATTTTGGTGCCCTTAACATACGCTTATCATGCCTGCAGAATCTGACCAAAAGTGTAAGAGTTATGTTTTTATGAATTCGCATTTTTATCAAAATTAGCAAAAATCTCATTAATATTTTCAAGCAAAAAAACACAATTATGTAACCCAGACCTTGACCATGACAAGGTAATCCATCCCTTTTGCTAAATTAGCTTAATTAGCTGTAGTACCCTTACTGATAGTTGATAGTGCTAAACAAAATAGCATGTTGTTCGTCCCAGTGGAGAAATCTAATTTTACACTATTCATTTTTTCTTGCCATTTCATAAAAATAATCATAAACGTAGGCTTGAAATCCTTAGCAATAGGCTAGTAATGGGAGATATTGTGCGAGTATTTTAAGATTATTTAACTTTTTTCTAAATCTTTTTACTTGTTTTAAGTACTTTTTTCCGATTTTATCTTTTCTATTACCAGACAATGTTCCAAGATATAAAGCAGATAATTTAGGTTGTTTCATGAAATAATATGCAATGATATTTTTTATAGAAAAAATAGTTAAATAATCTTATAATATTTTTACTTCAGTGACAAAATGACAAATATTAGATATATTGACTAGATTTATGGTGATTTCACTTAAGATATAGAAATGCATCAGTACATTTTTGTTCAGACAGAGTGTGTTTAGTACTTGGCGATACCGATACCATAATGAATGACCTCTTTAGAATTAAGTAGTTGTTAGGTAGCTATGCCACATTAGTTACCCTGGATTGATTGGCGATGCAGTGGAGGAGAGCGGGTTTAGTTCTTTGTCAGAAAAGCACTTCTGTACAGCTGTAAGTAAAGTATGTTTCATAGTTTTGATCCTCATGTGTCTCTTTAAACAGTAGTCTCTGTAGCACAGTGACAGCAAGAATCACATCCTAGGAGCTCACATTTCTGTTTTATGTTTCTTGGAGTCTTTTGTTTGGCTGGTTGAGCTGTAGTTGAATGATTATTGGCTAATAAAATGGCATCTTCAGCTCTTTTCTGAAGACACCTGACAGGACAGCTGGTTTGTTGAATGCATTTATGGATTTAGTCAAATTACTTTGGTTGTTTTTGGCAAACTGTGTTTTCTTCTCTGCAGATCCATGAGCGTATCGTGTTCTGGAGGTATTTATGAGTAAGTACTATTCAGCCAAATTGCTGCATTCATACGAAATTTTACTCCGTGTTTCTCTATTTCTTTCAAAGTTAGGTTCTAGGCCAAACTTTAGCAAGTGACTCTTGTTTTTAGTTTGCTTATATCAGTACATTCACATGCATTACATTTAATCAAATATTACATTACAGATGGAAAAATGGCAGCTCTTCACTGAAGTTGAACATGAGTGAGGACTCACTGCAGAAGCTGGATGATCACCTGAGCCAGTTAATCATAATCCGGTAACAGCATTTCTTCTCTTCTTCACTTTTTACATTCTGAGGATTTGAGCTTTGGTCAGTAAGATCATGAGGATTCATGACAGAACTTAAACCCTGCTGTATAACATTGATGTCATCATGCCAATATTTCATGGCTGCAGCCACATGCTGTGACAGTTTATGTTCAGTAATACCACAGTGTCATTACTGGTAATTGTCGTGACAAATACCACAAATACCAATGTCATAAATACCAAAATGCCATGTAATGAGAGCCATTGTCAAAGCATTGTGGCATTTGTCATGACAACAGTAAAGGTAACAGGATTGTCATATTTGAGTGCAGAAAAGGTTGTGTTCAAAAATCTAGTGCACGTTATGAATTAAAAAAACTAGGATATTTCAAGAGCTGAAAGCTTAACATTACTACCTTTCATAAAGAGTCACCCAGAGCAAATATTTCTTTCTTAATATTGTCTCAGAGAAATAAAGCAGATCTCAATATTATATTAATGAAGGATCACTGATTTCTCAATTGTTTCTCCTAAATCCCCCTTAGGAGAAAAGAGGAGATTAACAGCATTTCACTGTGAGACGTTCTGGTGATGAAGGAGAAAAGCATAAGTTCTCCTTCTGCACTGATTGAGTGCTGAAAGAGTTATGTAATATGGAATAGAGCTTTATAAAAATCAGTGTGATCTTACACTTTTCTTATGGAAATATTATTCAGCTACGTTCGCACAGCAGGTGAAAGTGGTCCCAATCTTAAAATATGATTTTATTTTTTTTTGACTGTTCATAACATCCTTTAAATGTGATCTGTATGCGACAGTCTGAACAGATCAGCTCCTAAACTGACCCGCATGTGCAAAAGAACAGTGCGTCGCGTTGCTTCATGAGGCTCATCCAGAGGTAAACAATTATGACTGCCAAAGAGCACCAGTCACTCCTGGAGGTTCAGCTTCATCTTCACCAGCATCACAGGAGCCATCATGAAGCTTCACTGACTGACAGCTTACCTGTTCACCCAGAATGTGATCGAGCTCAACATAACAAGGGTGGTTTCTTTGGTTCGCGTCCTCGGATTCTTTAAACTTTGCTTTCAGACTGTTAACTGTTGTTTGACGCTGCAGCCTCGTTCTCCTACAGCCACAGTCAGCTTTCTTCATTTTCTTCAAAATCTCTTCGAAGGGGTTTCAAGGAGGGGTTTGGATGAGTCTCTTCTAAATTTTGTACAGACACATCATCTCAAATTTTTAAGAGGTATCAGTAGTGCGAAATTATGACGAATGTTGAGTTGGATTGACTTAAAAGTTGCGTAAATTCCGATCTGGATGGTCAGACTGAGTCGTATTGCCGCAGATCGGATACGAATCAGATTTCAGTACCACATATGAAAGCATCTCAAATCGGAATTGGAAATGTCGGATTCCAGTTTTTTGCTGTTCACACTGCCACACAGACACACGTCTGTGTCACATATGAAGAAAAAGATCGGATTTGGGCCACTTTTACCTGCTGAGTGAACGAAGCCTAATTGACGTGGATGTGTTTCATCAAAATGTCATTGTATTTGGCAGTAGCTGTGAATCTCTTCTCTCTATCTCTTTTCTTTCAGGATGGACGAGTCATTCAGGCTGACGTTTCTGTTTAACTGGGATGCGCTGCACTTCATTGGTTTATTCAATCAGCGTCAGTCCAGAATGTTCCAGTTCCTATCAGATCTAGAAGAGGCTGCAGTCCAGCTGGATAGGATGAAGATGGGTTCCAACATCTCCACTGTGGCAGGCAGTTCAGTGGGCATTGCTGGAGGTGTCTTGTCCATCGTAGGCCTGGCTCTCGCCCCCGTAACTGCAGGAGTATCCCTGGCCCTCACGCTCACCGGGGTTGGGTTGGGGGTCACCAGTGGAGTCAACGGCTTAGTCACAGGCATCACTGAAATGGCAGTCAACAAGCATCATGGGAAAAACGCCAACAACATCTTCCAGAAGTTCATGGAAGATGTGGAGAAGATTCTAGATTGCATGGAACAAGTGGCCAGCAGTGAAGGTCCTGCAGTAGACCCTCAAGTAATGGCATCAGTTATGGAGGATCTTAAGAGTGAGGAAGTAGCGAGGGCTGCAGTCAATATGGGCCTTCAGGAAGTTAGAGCAGCTCGGAACATCCCTAATCTTGTTGCAGACCTGCCTGACATCGGGCAGGTGGCTAAGGGCGCTCCTCTGGCCCTTTCGAAATCAGCTAGAGCCGGGTTGATCACTCTAAACGCATTATTCATTGGTCTAGATGTTCTGTTCATCTGCAAAGATGGCATTAGCCTAGCCAAAGGAAGCAAGAACCAAGTCTCTGAGCTCATCCGATGCAGGTCACGTCTCTGGCACTCAGAGTTGGAAGCGTGGAGAAAGATCAGTGACTGTCTGTGCAGAGGAATATGGAAGTTCAGAAAGAGCCACCGAATTCTGGAGCAACCATTTCATCCTTAAAGAAGTAAATCAACCAGAACTGCTTTCACTGAAATGATTATGTTGGTTTGCTTTAAGTAATAATCTCATTACGTTAATCTCATTCAGTCTGGGAATCAGTTTAGCTAACAGAGACCAGTTTGTATGATGCTCTACACATATTACAATCGATTTTTGAGAAATCTTCTTAAAAATCTCACTCTTCTTTATATCCTAGTGGTTGTTCTCTGCACAACTGAAATGATTTTCTTCTTGGAAGAAATGGACATCAATTATGTTCAAGGACATTAGCATTAACATTGTTAACACTGGCTGAGATTGAGTTGAGGTCGTGAGACTTTTTTGGGTGATAGATCTTTCCATCCCTAAGTTGTTTACTGGGGTTGAGGTCAGGCCACTCGAGTTTCTCAACTCCAAACTCCTCAAACCAGGAAAGGGCTTTTCCCACTATTATCACAAAGTTAGAAGCTTATAATTTTCTAAAATGTCTTTGTATGCCCCTGCGATGGACTGGTGACCTGTCCAGGGTGTATCCTGCCTACCGCCCAATCACTGCTGGGATACGCAACCCCCCCACCCCATTAGCATTAGCATTACCCTTCAATGGAACTAAGTGGCCCAAACCCTGAAAAACAGCACCAACCTATTCACCAAACTTTACTGTTAGCACTGTGCATTCCGGTAGGTAATGTTCTCCTGGCATCCACCAAACCCAGATTCATCCATCTGACTGCCAGATGGTGAAGCTTGATTCATTACTCCAGAGAACACATTTCCACTACTCCAGAGTCCAGTGGCAGCGCTTTACACCACTCCAGCCGACATTTGGCATTGCACATAGTTATCTTAAGCTTATGTGCAGCTGCTCAGCCATAAAAAATGAAAATCCATTTCATGAAGCTCATTTCTTGTCCTGATATTGATTCCAGAGGCAGTGAGGAACTCTGCAGCGAGAGAAGCAACCAAGGATAGACAATGTTTACATGCTTCAGCACTTGGTGGCCCGCTCAGTGTGTTTGTGTGGTCTACCGCTTTGTGGCTGAGCTGTTGTTACTCAAGTCAGTTGTTGCTCAGGTGAAATTTCTTGAACTGATTTGTGGCAAAGGTGGCATCTTATAACAGCAGCTGTGTTTACATGCAAAGATTTTTACATAACCGATTGAATACATTCTGATGACTGAAGTGTTTATATTCTCACTCTACTCAACAATCTGATGGAAAATCTCTGTTTACATGCTCACTACAAGTGATCAGATCCAAAATTACATACATGCGTAGAGCACCGCTTAGTGTAGATGTTACCATGACAACCAGCATCATGTGAGTCCAGTCAGAGTGAGACGAGCAGCAGTGAGCAGTGCTTGTGTTTTTAATTGCTTCAAAATGATGTCAGATTCAGGAAAACGTGCCTCACATGTCCTTATTAAAGAAGGCCGAGAGGAAGACGTCGTGTTCTGAGACACATAAGCTGGACGTCCGTCCCACCGTCTTTTCAAGGCTCAGAGCATAAACATTGTCGCCTCTGCAGACCAGTTTCTGCTCCGCCATGTTGAACGTTATAAACTTTCACTATGACGTGACGCACATGCAGAATGGACTTAAACTTTCCGATAGGGAATGTAATCAGATACAGGCGTTTACTCGGTTATTATTTTTCTATTTAATGGATTATTTACAGGATTACCCAACACGCTCAAGCAGATAGGAATTGTATTCCGAATCGAGGTGTGTACATGGACGTATTCTATTCTGATTGAGTTATTACTTGGATTATTAACGGATTATGAGGCTGCATGTAAACGTGGCTGCTGCCACATTTAAAGTCACTGAGTTCTTCAGTTGTTCTATGAAGTCTGCATGGCTATGTTCTTCATTTTGTACACTTGTCAGCAATATGTGTGTCTGAAACACCTGAAGTCAATAATTAGGAGGGGTGTCCACATACTTTCGGCCATGTCATGTAGCTCACATTTTATTCTTGTCAGTGCTCTGAGCGACAAAGTCTGTCAGTTCACCCCAGGAGGTGTCACAACCTAATGTCAGAAAACGTTCAACTTGACATGAATGCTGGCAAATGTAACCTTTATGACAAATTACATCTACTAGATTAAGTGCTTATTAATGTTTATGTAGGTCTATGTCATGTGTATGTAGTTGCCATGAACAATTACTAATTTTATTGTACAATAAATTGTTTTTTTAAGTGCCTAATGTATCTCTGTGAGAAAGTTTGAGTGTGCATGTGTTTCTTTTACATACTGAAGCGTGAGAATGACGAGCTGTGGTGACAGTTGTGGTCCTCAGCTGATGTTAGATCAGAAGAGATCTGAAGAGCTGATAGCTTTGATGAACATTGGCCTAATTTTCTTGTGAAAAACAGTTTTATTTTTAACCTGTTGTATGAATGTGAGAAAATCATTTCAGCTAGAATGGTACTGAATGAATGAATAATTATTTCTCCTGTAAGTAATTCACACAAATTCTGCAATAAATGTACTTCTACTCAAAACTGACTTCTGCATCTTCCTTACAGATGAATTATTGTCATATGCTCCTCATACATCATCGTTTCTTCAAAAATGAAGGGTGTTTGTCCTCCTTTGCTGCAGTAACACCGTTTTGGAGATATGAAGTTTAAATATGCATTTTATATACTAGAACATTATCCAAAGTGAATGACTGCATATTTCTCAGTATGAGCGGCTGTAAAGGTTAAAGGTTATACTAACTCTTTGCTGTCTCAGTTCTTCTCCTCCGTCCCTCCATCTCCTCCTCTTCTTCATCCTCCCGCTCCTCCCCCTCCTCCATCTTCTTTTTCCTGAGTGCCTCCTCCATCTTCGCACTTTCTCTTCTTTCTTCTTCCTCTCTACCTCCTCCTGCCTCTCCTCCTCCTCTTCTCTCTCCCTGGCCAGCTTCATCACCTCCTCACTGAGGATCACTGATTCTCCATTAGCAGAAACCATCGCTTGGATTTTAGCCAGAAGTTTAGCCACTAGGTCTTCCCCACCGCCGGTTTGACTGTAGAGGGCGTGGTAGCGCCTGCCGCATTTCTCCACGAGCTTCTCCAGCTCTGCGTTGTCCTCCACTTCCTCCTGGATGGTGGTTGGATGCAGCTGCTTGGTGTCCTTCACAGTGAAAAGCACCAGCGTGTGGCTCCAAGCTTGTGGACCAAACAGTTCCACATGTTCCTCTGTGACGCGGCGCTCGCGGCTTGAAAAGGAGAAGGATAGAGGGACCACCAGGAGCAGTGCATGAGCACCAGGATGGCACAGCTTCATACTAGCCACCATCTGCTTTCTCACATGTTCAGGTGATGTCCGGCTGCCACCCAGGTTGAACCACTCCCAGCCTGGAGTGTCCACCACCAACACCCGCCGTCCCCTGACCATGCCCTCACGGTGGACACTCGCTCTGGTCCTCACCCCCACCTCGTCAAACGCCTTGGTGCCCAGGACGGCGTTGCCGACTGCGCTCTTACCCGCCTCTCTCTCACCAATTAGAACCAAATTTAGGCTTGGGCTGGGCGAGAGAGACTGTGAACAGCCTGTAGAAAAACAGAGAGAGAGAGACTTGAATTTCCTCAGCTCAGTGCAGAGGAATGTTTTGACTTTTTTATTTTTTACAATAGAATTTTTAATTCCATACTTTCATTCATTCATTTCTATCCAGTCAGACAGACATGAATGTGATAAAGCTGACAAATTTAATGCTGACTGGTGGAAAAGATCAGTAACCAGCAACGTCTGAGCTTTGTCGCCCTTTTTGCACGTGTTATAACTGCTTATTAATGATCTTTCATGTGTTTATGACATAATGAATAACCATAACCCCCTTTGACCCAGTTCTTCAATGGACTGGACCCCCACAGGACCACCACAGAGCAGGTATTATTAAGGTGGTGGGTCATTCTCAGCACTGCAGTAACACTGTTGTGGTGGTGGTGTGTTAGTGTGTGTTGTGCTGGTGCGAGTGGATCAAACACAGCAGTGCTGCTGGAGTTTGTTAAACACTGTGTCCACTCACTGTCCACTCTATTAGACACTCCTACCTTGTCAGTCCACTTTGTAGATGTAAAGTCAGAGACGACAGCTCATCTGCTGCTGCACAGTTTGTGTTGGTCATCCTCTAGTCCTTCATCAGTGTTCACAGGACGCTGCCCACAGGACGCTGTTGGCTGGATATTTTTGGTTGGTGGACTATTCTCAGTCCAGCAGCAACACTGAGGTGTTTAAAATCTCCAGCAGCACTGCTGTGTCCAGTGGTGTAACTAGGATCTTATGAGCCCCAGTGCAAAAAGAATTAATGCCCCCCACCACACAAAAAATGACTTTTAATTAATAATGTCATGTAATTTACATGTTTATTTGCTATTGTTATGTCAAACGAGTTGATGCTCCCAATGCAGGTCACTCCACCCACCAGCATCTTATGTATTTGGTTTACTACACTCTTTAAAAAATGGTTCTTTAAGGGTTCTTTAGTAAAGATATTAGTTCTGTACAGAACCATGAACACTCAAAGAACCATTTGCATGATTAAAGGGTTCTTTACATCATGGAAGTGATCTTCAGATTGTAGAACCTTTTTGAAAAGGGTTCTATGTAGCACCCAAAAGGGTTCTTCTATCGTTACAAGCTTGACATTGTAACAAAAGCAGAACCCTTTTTGAAAAGTTTCTATATAGAACCATCTACAGCATCACATTCTCTTTAAAGATACAAAAAGCCCTTTAATCACGCAAGTCAAGTCAGCTTTATTGTCAATACTACAATACGTACAGGACATACAGAGTATTCAAACTGTGTTACTCTCAGCCCATGGTGTGGGTTCTTTGAGTGTTCATGGTTCTATATAGACACATTTTCTTTACTAAAGAACTCTTGAAGAGCCATCTGTTTAAGAATGGCCCATGGGACAACAAGCGAACACACGGCGATAAAGCGGAAAACACAAAAGTAAGATCACATTTTCCAGTCGAACCGTTTTAGGTGATGGGCCGAGTTTCCCTGCTTTCAGTTTAAATGTACCTAAAAGGAGGACTCTGTTTGTCTGGTGTTGATATATTGCAGTTCACCCCTCAAACTACTATAGAGAAATCCAGTCGTCTGCTAGCTGGTGTTTGAATACTGTGATGTGCTCTGACATGGATGCGGTAAGAGTGATGGCAGTAAGGCAGTTTGATCCATCCCTGACCTACTGAGCCAGCTAATGTTTGCTGCTCGTAGTAAGCTAATATTGTTGAGAAACTAAACAGTTTAGCACTGTTGTTGGCCACTTGTTTAGCATTTGTAACGGAATAGCCGAGCGCTCGTCACCAGA